TGTTTTTGGATAAGTTTCATATGGTTTTGTTTTTTATTTCCCAAATAATTGCTGAGTTTTCCTGATTATTTTCCCAACTTATAACTATCATGACACAAAATATAATTATTGGTGAGAATGAATATTCAAGCATATAGTCCTTAGAAAAATTACTATAAATATAAGATTAAACATTCATAAAAATGTGTGTTTTATACTATTTAATTGAATATATTTACCATAGACCATTGTATTGACATTGGTCATAAAGTTATATTAAAGTGTGAGCCCTGTCTCAAGAATTAAATAAGATCAGATGTAGATAAGATTGCTTATATTAAGATCTTAAACATACATGTCTAGATGATGCTATTAACTTGAAATAACACTTACTTGGTAAATTATGCAAGTAAATACCACCATACAAAACTTGGGAGAAATTTACATTTTAGGGCCCAATGTTTTATTAACTGTTAGGTGTTTTTAAGATTCTTTTAAACTAGAACTCTGTTATAATAAATATGACTAAAAATAATTATTAACAATTGAAAGGGCATGTTTATTGAGAGTGATACAGTTGACTTTTTTTTTTCAAAGATAACGTATAGGCATCATTTTCTTAAAATAATGCATTTGCTACAAAAGGCATAACTAATGCCCTTTTAGCCATATTGTCTTTTTTTTCCTTTCAGAATTACCAAGAATGACTTGAAGGTTGTTTTGTTTTTAGAATTGTTTTTCATGTATTCATTAGAAGGGGGGATGATTTCTACGATACCTAATAATGCCATATATATTCTCTAAATGTTGATCGATTCATAATCAAGCATAATCGATATTAATACTTCTTCATAACAAGTACTTGTGATAAAGGAAACATGAAAAATATGTCTCTACTGAATTACCTTCAGTGGTAAACATTGTTGTAATTTTTTATGAAATAGAAAGGTTGGTAATATTTTTGTCATAGTAAAATTTTATCATAACAAAATTTGACTTGCAAATTTTTTAGTGAAAATAAAAGTAAGGAAATGCCTATATTGTGGGATAGCTTTAAATATAAGTGAAACAGTTTATTACTTGACCCCATACCTATCCAGAAATAATTAGGTTGGTGCAAAAGCAGTTGTGGCTTTTGCCATTACTTTTAATTAATTTTGCACCAACTTAATATAATTATTGACTTACAGCTTAGTACGCTCTCCTTTCTGTAGCTCCTTGATTAATAGCATTACTCTCCACTCAAGTATCTGCTCAAGCCAGAAACCTGAATGTCATTATCCATTTGTTCTTTATCATGACCCAATGAGCTAACTAAATGTCCTTTATTTTCTCTGTAAATTTATCTATCCTCCATGAAAGTATACCTTTTATGGTCTCCCTTGTCCTTGAGAGGAAGCCCAAACTATTTGGAATGTCCGGTAGTCCCTTTACAAACGGGCCTTACTCATTCAACATTTCTTATTTGTACTGTTCTCTGCCAGACCCTGAGCTGTAAAGATGAATAAGATCAAACCTTCTGGGAACTCACAGTTTACTGGGGAAGAGAGAAAACTGTGGCGCATGTGTATAGTGAAGGGAGGGGTCAATGAAAAACAAGGAGTATGGGAAAGGAGAAGAGGATTGTGTAGGTCATGTCAGGAAAATAAAGAAGCAATGATTGAGTCAGATACCTTTAAAATGACCAAGATAGCTGGCCATGCAGTGGCTCACACCTTAGGGAGTAATCCAAGCACTTAGGGAGGCAGAAGCAAGAGGTTAGCTTGAGCCCAGCAGTTCAAGACCTGCCTGGGCAACATAGTGAGACCCTATTCTCCACAAAAGGGAAAAAAAGGCAAAATGAAATAACCAACAGCATGACAAGTCTGATGTTTTTGAATTAAATGTGTGGACCTTCTATTATGCAGCCACTAGGGGGTTTAGTCAGACCACGTCCACAGAAGGGCATTAGAAAGAGCAACTGGGAAGAATACAGATGATTTCTTTTCCTAATAATTTTCAGGTGCCCCTGGCATATTAATAGAAGTTTATGGCATTGCCTTTGGGATTTGTTATAAATGTGTGTCCAAAAAATAATTTGTTTTTCCTTTACCTTTGCCATCTTATTCACAGTCTAAAGCAATATTTTAGAATAAATGTGGTGATCTGATGCTGAAGGACATAATTTCAGTCTTAACTTCTGTAAATCTTTAGTATTTTTTAAAGATTTTCTTTGTTTTTTTCAGCATACTTCTTGATGAAGAAGGTCACATCAAGTTAACAGGTAAAAAAAAATCCTCATTTTATTAAAATATTTTCTCCTACAATATATACTTTCCTTTAAGATTGATTGTGGTACAAATACTGAGTAATACACTGTATTAAAATTAAAAACTTATATTAGGGCCAGGTGTGGTGGCTCACCCCTGTAATCCCAGCGCTCTGGGAGGCCAAGACAAGTGGATCACTTGAGGTCAGGAATTCAAGACTAGCCTGGCCAACGTGGTGAAACCTGTCTCTACTAAAAATACAAAAAAATAAGCTGGGCATGGTGCACACCTGCAATCCTAGTTACTTGGGAGGCTAAGACAGGAGAATCAATTGAACCCGGGAGGCAGAGGTTGCATTGAGCCAAGTTTGCCCCACTGTACGCCAGCCTGGGCGGCAGGGCGAGACTCTGTCTCAAAAAAACAAAAAAAAACAACAACAACAAAAAACTTGTATTAGAGATTTTAAATGATTAATATAAATGTCAGAACTCAAAGTTTAAAATTTACATATGCAAATTTATGTAGGATATTTATGATACTTGTTTTGGCAGATTTTGGCCTAAGTAAGGAGTCTATTGACCATGAAAAGAAGGCATATTCTTTCTGTGGAACTGTGGAGTATATGGCTCCAGAAGTAGTTAATCGTCGAGGTCATACTCAGAGTGCTGACTGGTGGTCTTTTGGTGTGTTAATGGTAAGGTTTGGATTTGGGGTTTTTTGGGGGAAGGGGTTTGTTTGTTAAGTGAGGATCAGCAGTGAATGTTACGAGAGAGAAACTGGTATTTTTATTTTGTGTATTTTATACCATATGTAATAACCAAGAAAAATTATTACATGCAGTAAAGAAGGACTGAAATCTATTAACTGCTTCTATCTCATCCTAATTTGAAAAGGAAAAAAGATATTACCATAGATTTCCTGCTAATAGTAACAGTCTAAACTACTAATGATACATGTTTAGTCTTTTGGAGAAACTGGTCCAGAAATCTGTTAGTAAATGACCCTTAAAAATAAAATAAGTTTGTTTGGCCAGGTGCAGTGGCTCACACCTGTAATCCTAGCACTTTGGGAGGCCAAGGCGGGTGGATCACCTGACATCAGGAGTTCAAGACCAGCCTAGCCAACATGGCAAAACCCCATCTCCACTAAAAATACAAAAATTAGCCAAGCAGGATGGCACATACCTGTAATCCCAGCTACTCAGAAGGCTGAGGCAGAAGAATTGCTAGAACTTTGGAGACAGAGGTTTCAGTGAGCCAAGATTGTACCACTGCTGGAGCCTGGGCAACAGAGTGAGACTCTGTCTCAAAAAAGATAAAATAAATTCACTGGGCGCAATGGCTCACACCTGCAATCCCAGTATTTTGGGAGGCCAAGGCAGGCAGATCACTTAAAGTCAGAAGTTCAAGACCGTCCTGGCCAACATGGTGAAACCCTGTTTCTACTAAAAATACAAACATTAGGCTGGGCATAGTGGCTAATGCCTGTAAGACCAGCCTGGACAACATGGTGAAACCCCATCTCTATTAAAACTACAAAAAATTAGCTGGGCATGGTGGCACAAATACCCTAAGAGGCTAAGGCAGGAGAATCACTTGAACCCAGGAGATGGAGATTACAGTGAGCCAGGATCGTGCCACTGCACTCCAGCCTGGGTGACAGAGTGAGACTCCATCTCAAAAAAAATAAATAAGTTCATATGAAATTGGCATATCTATCAAATTGTTCAAATATCTACACTTTTAAATTGCCATTTGAAATGTGATTGATGAAGCTGAGCATGGTGGCCCATGCCTGTAATCCCAGCACTTTGGGAGGCTGAGGTCGGGGGATCCCTTGAGTCCAGGAGTTCAAGACCAACCTGGGCAACATACTGAGACCTTGTTTCTACAAAAAAAAAAAAAAACAGAATTACCCATTCATG